GAGCCCCTTGAAAAGACATTCTGTAGCAATCTCCTCAGAGCACATTTGACATCAGCATTCTTGAAGCTGTAGATCACAGGATTAAGGGCTGGAGGCAGCACAGTGTATATCAAAGCCAACAGCCTGTCGGTTATTGGAGAATTAAATGATGTCTTCAGATAAACAAAACAAGCAGTTACAACAAAAATAGTGAAAACAATGAGGTGGGGCAGGCAGGTGGCAAAGGCTTTGGACTGACCTTTAGTGTTAGGAATCTTCAGCACAGTGGAGAAAATATAAAAGTAAGAGATCACAACACAAATGACACACGACATGCCTAGACACATACCAATTCCAAAGCTTGTATAAATGACCACCAGTGTACCAGAGCAGGAAATCCTCAGTATTGAAGGAATGTCACAGAAAAACTGCGGAATCACATTGGAGCCACGGAGAGGCATGGAAAATGTACTAGCTGTGTATATAGCTCCAACGAATAACCCAGTGGCCCAGGAAAAGCCCACCATCAACACACAGGCACCTCCACTCATGATGGCCTCATAGTGCAGGGGACAGCAGATGGCTACATAGCGGTCATAGGACATGGCAGTCAGGATAAATACCTCTCCTGATGAGAAGGAAGACATTAATAGTATCTGGAGGGCACAGCCTAGGATGGAAATGGAATTGTTATGAGTTAGGCTATTAACAATGAAATTGGGGATTGGAACTGATACAAAGAAGGCATCCAACAGGGACAAATTCTTCAGGAAGAAGTACATGGGTGTTTGGAGCTGCAGGTCCAGGGTGATGAGAGTGATGATGAGGAGATTACTCATTAGGGCCGCCAGATACATCACCAGGAAGAGCACTCCACACAAAGTCTGAAGCTCCTGGACATCAGAGAACCCAACAAGGATGAACCTGGTCACTGCAGTGACATTAGACATAGTGGATTCTTTCCACTGCCTGTCAGGTGATGAGAAATGAACAAAGAATTGACACTGTCTCAGTGAGTTGCACAAAAACAGTAATACTCAGTTGAAATGTTTCAGAAAACTACCTTAAATACCCTTACATTTGAACTAAATTCTTGTGTCTTTCTATGTCTCATCACTCCTAATCTTGTAATTTTTCCTTTTCTTCCTTTTTCTTAGAATTTCATGTATTATTACTGTATTCACATCATTTCTATGGATGTATTATCTTGAATATGCCAGATTCTCTCTGTCTCTGTCTCTCTCTCTCTGTCTCTCTCTTGCCCTCTCTCCTTTCTTTCATTCAACAATATTTCTTTTTCCTCCCTCTCTATCTCTTTCTCTCCTGTGTCTTTTATTCTAGACATTTTACTTATGGCTCTGGGCATGCTAAGCTTAATTTCCTACCACTAACTATAGTACAACAGCCATCTTTTTAAATTAACAAGATTTAACCTGAATAATATGTGATATTGATTGGACTTATATTAAAGTTGTAATTTTGATGTTTGTGTAAGAATTTTCATGGTTTAAGGTTGGCGTGGGCTTCTTTACATTTAATTGTAATAACCTATTCTTTTATTAATATTGAGCATATCAAATATCTAGAGGAAAGAATTTTGAATATGTGAACAATAAGGCATAGTATATTAGTATAACTGTATATTAGTATATTAGTATAACAATTATACTAATCATTATATAGTTTGAGCATGTGTCAAAATATTACATTGCCTTATATCAAGTACAATTATTATTTATCAATATGAATAAAAATTATTACAGAAAAGTAAAATACAATATATGTAAAAATTAAATGTCAGAGTCAGGTGTGGTGGTGCAGGCCTTTAGTCCCAGCACTTAAGAGGCAGAGCCAGGCAGATGTCTGTGAGTTCAAGGCCAGCCTGTTCCACATAGTGAGTTCAGGTCAGCTGGGACCATGGGGAGAACTTGTCTCAAAAAGACAAAAAAGTCAGAATTTCATTTATTCTTGTTCACTCAACCTTACCTCTTTACAGAATGATTACAATTTTGAAAACAAGGAATTGTGCCAATTTGCTGAACATTTATATCAACTGGTTTTGGAACGAGTTTCACTACAAATCTTTAGAAAAGCATGAGAGATATTTAGGGACTCTTTATTCTCTAAAACCATTGCTAATGGCCAATGGGTAGCTAACAGCACAATAAAAGCATGGAATATGTCCTTTTATTTTGCTTCTGTTCAATTGTCTTAAACTTTGAATCAAAGTGTTGACAACTCTGCCCATAGAGATAGTTATCTTTTAAGGGGTGTTCACCTCAAGCCGGTGACCATGTCTCTCCAAGACTGAAGAAAACAACGTAAAAGTAGCTAATATATTTTCCTTATTATCACTTGTCCCATTATACAGGGTCCCATTCCAAACCACTGGAGTACCACCAACAATCTTCATTCAATGTCCTAAATCTTTCCTGAACAGTAGGGCCTTGTAGGCAGGTAACTCAATGATGAAATTGACATATCCTTTCTCAGAGGCAGTGATTATCAAATAGAAAAAAAATTCCCCATCCCTTTTCAAATCAAAAAGTTTGAGATAAATGTTCTGCAATGTAAATGAAGATTGCTCATCCCAACAATAGCAGTTTCTTTAGATTAGAATGGTATTGCCTATCCTTTAGTGTCAAAGCTAATTTCTTTGAAGTTGATAAGAATCTTTTTATCAGAATCGAGATTAAAAACCATCCATACACAACCACCGTATCCTTAATCCCATCCACCAGATTTCATTTATTCTTCCATATATGTTAAGGCCTATCAAGTCAAGCTTTTATACTCACATGGAGTCTAATAATCTCAAGTCTCTACCTTAAGGAATATCAACTTTCCCTCATGGAGCAGTAGTCAGTTGCCAGTATTTCCTCAGTTAAAGTTGGGGCCTGTTGCCCATTTCGCCAGTTCTGTACTAGCTTTTTTTTCAGTTTGCATAGATCTTGTGCATGCCATCACCATTATTGAAAGTTCATATGAACAAGTTCCCAAGGCATGGAAGACTGTTTCCTTATGCTCATGTACCAACCCTGGCACTTACAATGTACAGCACTATAAACATACCAAAACACACATTGATGGAGAGGTTATAGATCCTAGAGAAAACCTTATCTCTGTCATACCCCTAGACAATGTAATTTTATACTTTATCCTTAACATTGATCCTCATATATACAGACAATTATATCATATGCTACTCATCAAAAAGCTGCCCACTACAAAAGATGGAAAATCTTACGGAGTTCAACAACTGGTCCCACACAGAGACTATGTGTATGAGTGACGCCCAGACCTAAGTGACATAGCTACATTTGAACCTATAAATCTAAGGCTCATGGAACATAGTGAAACAGGTGTACAATGAATACTAATGCATCCCTTCACTCACAAAACTGAACCTTCCTCATTCAGCAGAGGGTGATGAACAGAGAAGGCCACAACTGGCCAAGGTGTGGAGAATAAAAGACTGCAGAGTATATGTGCATTGGTAGGACTCCTATATTAAACCCCACCTACCCAGGGCTCAGGGACCATTGTGGAAGAGAATGGCTCTTATACTTTGATCCCTTTATAATTTTGGAGATCTTCTAAGTACTTTCCAATGCAATGATAATGATTAAATTATTCTCCTGCCTTTCACCATTATGTTTTCTGGCTGATTTCTGTGCAGATTAACAATTTCTAATTCCTTGGGACTCCCTGAAGCCGAGCTTCCCATGGCTTAGGATTTACATAAGGTAACCACAATAAATATTCAACTTTTTTCTAGAGTATTTCTCCTTATCATGTCATATTGAATGTAATTTTCTTTCAATAATAACTAATATGTTCTAATATATTATATGTATGTTCATGATATATTTATAGATCATTGGTGACTAGGGCAAAGATATACTTCACTGAAAAAAGTCATATGTGTTTTATACATTGAACTAAATGATATGTACAAAAGTATAGATTTCTGGAGAACAATGTGTTCTCCACTGGAGGAGTTAAAAGATAAACACTTAAAAATAATCTAATAATCTAACAACAAAATTTCTCAGATGATGACACATTTTAAGCAACAAAATCTCTTGATTTAGAGGTTAGTCATGTGGGTATATGAGATTAAGAATTGCAGGATGTTCACAACAAAATGCATAGGACAAATGTAGTAGATAAATATCTTTGGAGGAGAGAGTTTTGAAAGCACAATTTTAATGTATAATAAAAGAGAACCACGTTTGGTTTATTAGGGGCAAAGCAGTGTGTGGTGAACTGGGAGAATGTGTGGTAGAGGGATGAGAACTATAATGACAAGTGAGTCCACCCCAACTCTCAGGCTTTAGAAGCAGAGAAAGAAGGAAAAAAAGGGGAAGAATGGTGAAAAAGTCAATGTTAATTACATTGATTTTGGTTTCTGCCTTGATTTCCTCAAATATG